GTGTTGTGGCCCATCTGTCTCTGCAGCCCAGTTCCAGGAAGCCCACAGACCGACACCGGGCCATGGACCGGGGGTTGGGGACCCCTGCTCTCCAGTGTTCAGCATAAACAGATAAGATTGTATCTAACAATTGAGTAAAGATGTTAAGCTTCTCCTAATAATGTTTCCATCTCACCAGCTGTTGCTGGTTTCCAGCACCCATAATGAATGGGTGTCATGCTGACTTAATGGTTGAGGTCTCTGACTGTGAAGCCAGAGGTTGGGAGTTTGATTCCCTCACTATGCCTTCCGGGAGAAGAGCCAGGCTGGGTGGGCTTGGTCAAACTGCACAGTCCCAAGGCTCTCCCGGAAGAAAAGAATTTTAAATCACTTCTGAGTACTTTCTATCTGGAAAACTTTGGAAAGGTTTGCCATAAGTCAGAATCGACTTGACGGCATACCAGACATACAGATGCTCGGTAGATTGGTTGAAAGTTAGAGCAACATCTGGTGGGAGAAAAGTCTCTTGTTCCCATCATATTTATTTCACTTATTTCATTTCATTCTGCAGTTTCTATACCTCCCCTTCACTACCCTGCGCAGATGACGCAAAACAGTTACAAACCTCAATGACCGCACTCACCGACAAATTCATTCAAAAACAAGACGGCGACACAACAGAAATTAATTATAATCCTAAACTGAAATAACCCTCTAAACATCTGGAATTATTATTATTATTTTTGGTTGGCCTTTTCACTTTCATAAGCTTTTGCTTAATGGGCAATGCTTACTGACCTTGAAGATATGCCATCGCTTTGTTGAGCATCATGGTCTGAGCACTCCGTGTGGCCTCTCCTGATATTTTGTATAAGATTAAAAGAAAAGGGAAAAAAGGGAAAAATTTTAAAAAGGGGAAATGATACCTCCATCATTTGATGGCTGTTTCCAACTAAAGCAAATACTTTCTTTTGCCCCCCCTTCCCCCATTATCCTCTTACAAATGTCTACTTATTCATACGTTTTGTCCCATTTTCCCCAAGGGGCATAATGCACTTGTGAACACTCTCCATTTGTCAGTTCCAACCAGAGAAGACCCACTGAATGAATGAGATTTGTAATAATGCTGTAATTCCCATTGATTCAGCTGAAATGAGCAAGTGCATTTAGCCCTCTGCGTTTAAACAGGATTTTTCGGGGTTTTCTGGACCACCGGGACCAGATTTCTCCATTCTGGGAGTTCTAGCTCTCTTGCAGACACCTCACAAACACCTCAATGTGATGCACTTGGGAGAAAGGGCCAAAGTCAGAAAGCCTTGAGGCTTAGCTAGGCCTAGTTCTCCGTAAGCTTCCTCTTCCTGCCCCAGTGCAGGCTGGGAGCTTGGCTTTCGAGCAGGAAGCCAGGCAGAGCTAGGCCAAGCTCAGCCTCAAGAGTCTTTTCAATTAGGGCTTTTCTCCTGGTTGCAGGACATTGAGATGTCTGTACGTTAGGAATAAAAAAGTATGATATTGGTAGTCCATCTAGTATGGTGGTTACTCACAGGAATCAAAGATGGTGAATAATAAGCCCTTTATAATAGTATACAATTGGAAATTTCTGGAGATAGCCGTTTCTGATGAAAAGCCAGGCTACAAAGTATGCAAATACTAGGACACACAGGTCACTTTAAGGCTCTGCCCCTGGTAGTAATCACAAGTTCCTTATTAAAGGAAGCACTGTAATAGAGCTTTAGCTTCATAGGAACAGTGGAACAATGTGAAGTATTTTATACAACAGGTCTGAAGGTGTAGGTGAGTTTCCATTTCACTTTATTTGCAAGAAAATAATGTATAAGATCCTGGTATAAAACAATATTTATTCATGTTTAGATGAAGCTTTCCATGTAGCAGCTTTGAAGGACATAGTACAGTGGTGCCCCGCATAGCGAGGTTAATCCGTTCCGGATTAACCTTCGCTATGTGAAATCTTCGCTAAGCGGGAAGTAAAAAGCCATTGGAACGCATTAAACTTCATTTAATGCATTCCAAATTGGCCCTAAACTTCCCACTTAGAGAAGTTTCCTGGCCCCGGGCAGCCATTTTCGCGCCCTCCCCTCGCTTGCCGAGGGCGCGAAAACGCCGCGGGGGGCCATTTCGGGTCGTTTTGAAGCCGCAAAACAGCTGTTTTGCGGCTTCAAAACGACCCGAAATGGCCCCCCGCGGCGTTTTCGCGCCCTCGGCAAGCGAGGGGAGGGCGCGAAAATGGCTGCCCGGGGCCAGGAAACTTCTCTAAGTGGGAAGTTTAGGGCCAATTTGGAATGCATTAAATGAAGTTTATTGCGTTCCAATGGCTTTTTACTTCCCGCTTAGCGAAGATTTCGTATAGCGAAGGTTAATCCGGAACGGATTAACCTCGCTATACGGGGCACCACTGTATATATAAAATCTATAAAACCCTACAAGGTTTGGGTCCAAGCTATTTCAAGGACTGTATCTCCCTTGATGAGCCTACACAGGTGTTAAGATCCTCAGGAGAGGCCTTTCTCTCAGTCCCGTCACCTTCACAGGTGCTTCTGATGGAGACTCAGGAGATGATTGTCTCTGTCACTGCTCCCAGAGACTCTGGAACTCCCTCCCACTAGAGACCCTCCTGGCCCCGTCTTGGCTGCCCTTCTGGAAGCAGGCAAAGACCTTTTTCTTCAAGCAAGCCTTCCCTCAGTGATTGGCTGCTGGGCGCATTATTGGTTGGAATGCATTTTTGGTGTTGCTTACTGTCTTTTAGTGTGGTATCTGATGCTTTTAAGTGTTTGTATACCCACGTTTAACATTGTCTTTTAATGATGTAAGCTGCCTTGGGTTCTTCTTAAAGTTAAAAACTGGTGTAAAACTATCTGAAAGAAAGATGAAGGAAGGAATGAATGAATGAATGAATGAATGAATGAATGAATGAAAAAGGAAGGAAGGAAGGAAGAAAGGAAGGAAGGAAGGGAGGAAGCAAGCAAGCAAGCAAGCATGGAAGGAAGGAAGGAAGGAAGGAGTAAAGAATGAAAGAGGAAGGAAGAAAGGAAAGAAGGGAGCAAGGAAGGAGGAAAGAAAGAAAGAAAGAAAGAAAGAAAGAAAGAAAGAAAGAAAGAGAGGGAGGGAGGGAGGGAGGGAGGGAGGGAGAAAGAAAAGAAGGAAGCAAGCAAGCAAGCAAGGAAGGAAGCAAGTGAGCGAGCAAGGAAGGAAGGAAGGAAGGAAGACAGAAAGAAAGAAAGGAGGGTAACAAGGAAGCAAGGAAGGAGGGTAGCAAGGAAGCAAGGAAGGAGGAAAGAAAGAAAGAAAGAAAGAAAGAAAGAAAGAAAGAAAGAAAGAAAGAAAGAAAGAAAGAAAGAAAGAAAGAAAGAAAGAAAGGGCATAGGTTTTCTCCAGCAATGCAGGGAGTTTTTGCCCAGCCATGCTTCTGCCATTTTTTTTCTAAAATCCCACCAACAGGGAGAAATCTTCACAATTTTGTTGCTGCTGGCACCTGCAAGGCTTACATAGGGGACGGCAGACATCGTTCTCCATACATCCTCAAATGCAAGGAACGAGAGTCCTCTGCTGGCCACCAGCAGAAACGTCTCAGTCCTAATTTGCTGGTACAGTATAGAAAGATCTTGGCACACCAAGCCAAGGCAATTTTGTTTCATTGGGTTGCTGGGTATAGAAGACAAGTTCATGCTTCCTTCCCCACCTTTGTGAGGACGGGATAAGTGGAAATCTAGATTTTGACCTGGTCGGGCCAAGGAATGGGAGATGAGTCGTATTAGCCCATTAGTGGGAAAGCCCGCATCCTGGAACAATTAATCTACTCCTACTCCTACTCCCTGACTCTAGCCATGAATGTCATCCTGACATTTCTTCAATTATCCAGTGATGCATTAATCTCAATTAAACGTTGACGGTTCTTTCCAATGGACTCCTTTATAGCTGAGGGTGAGTAATGGACATACCCGCATGGAAACTGTGTCCGTCAGTAAAATTATCTTCAAATACCTGTAGGTGTTGGATAATAGCACCCTGTCCTCTGCTACGAAAAAGAGGGAATGAAGATTTATGGGCTGTTTTTAATAGCTCGGAATCAACTCCGCAGAATACATTCTGCCTCAAGAGCCTCGTTAATGTCAATGGATTAGCCTGCTCGTTGAACAGTGCCTGTTTTGAGATTCTCTGCCGGGACAGTGAATGTTTTGCTCCCTGAACGGGGATGTTGACCAACGCTGCCTTTATTAATGCAAAATACAACTCCTGGATTTATGCATGCGTTCATCAGGTTAGAGTCTAGGGTCTCAGAACACGAGGGTCATCTCCCTCCCTCCTTCTCATTGTTAAAATAATTACGACGTAAACCCTTGACTTCATTCTTGTGCACATCCACAGATGGACACCATTACTCAGTTGAATTGAATAGATGGGAATATAAAAGGTCAAAGATTTGGATCAACTGTGTTTCTAGGTAGGCATCCAAAGAGGGATGAAAGTCTGGAGTTTACTTTCTTCCAAAAGGGACTTCCAAAGAGACATCACCACGGTGGCTAAAAATAGGCCAACGTCCCCATTGTTAGTCCAGTTACAGTGGACCCATGGATTCAATGGGATTTGTTGACTTACCATTCCTTTGATCTGGTTGGTCTGCTCTTAGCTGAGATGGACAATAGGATGCTGGATGTACAGTCAAAGAAAAGGTGTTTATAATAATGCTGTTATCCTCCTAAGCCCACCTGCTCTTTTCCAGTTTCAGAAGCTAAGCAGATATGGTGGGTACCTGTATGGGTGGCCACCTGAAAATATCAGCTGCTGGTGTTGGGTGCTGGCATTGGAACTCTTTGAGTGGTTGGAAAATGGGGTCCCTTGGTGGCTAACCATACCTGATATAAGAGTGTGTGTGTGTGGGTGCCCAGAGGAAATGTATTAGGATAGTTATTCCCAACCTTGGGTGCCCAAATGTTCTTGGACTGCAACTCCCAGAAATCTTGGCCAACACAGCTGGTGGTGAAGGCTTTCGGAATTTTTTTTGTCCGAGAAAAAATGGACACCCAAGGTTAAGAATCAAGGATTATCTTCTTCCAAAACCTGTTGTATTTAGTAGTTGAACGGCAGAACCTGAAAAACTTTCTTACACTGAGCCAAAGCATTGGTCCCTCTAGTGAAGCATTGGGAGTGAGAAACCCAGGTATTCGTATTTAAGCCCCAGTTGGGGATGATGATCCAGCCATGGCTATAGAGTTCAGTATTTTTGTGGGTGTGTGGGTGTATCTTATTCCACTTGTCTTACCGTCCATCGGTGCTCTCTGAGGTCCATCGCACGGTGCAACAGAACCCTTGAAGGGAAACAGAAACCAAAAAGTTACATTTTGAATCAGTCCATAAAATTGCCAACTGGACTCTATTATCTTTGAGTGCTTTGAATATTTCCTTAACAGATGTGGGTCTCAGACTTGGTGGGAAAGCCTGTACAGGAGGAGGGCACACTCACTTCCTTTGAATGATGGAAGCTCTTGGTCTACACATGCGTTCTGCGAAGAGGACAAGGCAAGTGGAAAGCATAGAGGTAGGGAGAGTCTAAGGAAAAGTGGCAGCATCTCGAGAGACCCCAATTTTCTCCAAAGATCTCATGAGCAGTAGGAGATTAACAAATCAGATTGGCCCTGCCCCTCTCCACAATTCCTGAAATTGGGGCAATTTAAACATTACATCAGACCGCTGTACGACGAGGAGATGGAAATAATAACCACTCAAGACAGAGGGAGGGCTGGGGGTTGATGCCGTGTTGCCCCCTTGGAGAGCCCCCACGACGACGATTGTGTGCATTTAACGCATCTCATAATCTCGTGGAAAGCTTCCTCGTGAAAAAATATAACAGACAGGATATGCCTTTTTTAAAAAAATTCAAAAACAATTACAGAAGACAAGAAGAGCAGAGAGCATTTGTTTCCCATTAGCACGCTTGTTTCTCTTGCCTGGCTTTTGAAACAAAATCTGGTTCCTTTCGAAATGTTGGGTCTGGAAACGAAAACAGGAGTTTCCCTCACTACAGGGGAATCCCAACTAGAGCAGGCCAGTGGAATGAGTGGAATTCTCCACGGATCTGATCCGTCAGATGCCCACTGACTCAAGGCGCACAGTGAAATTCCATCTAGCAGTGGCTTATGACTGCAAGAGAAATGAGCCACGACGGTTCTCCTTTGACCAGCTAAATAATTTCCTCTCCATGAGCAGCAAGTGGCCCAGAGGAGGTACAGCCAGGTTCCCTCTCTTACGACTTGGTTAGAAGCTGCTCAATGAATAACAGTAAGTGGACGCAGCGCTCTCCTTGTTCACATGTAGAAGAGTGTTGTGTTGTGATCACAATAACTGTGTCGTTCATTCCCGCTCTTCTGCTGACCAAGATGAAGCTCTGGAAGGCGTGGCCTCTCCATGTCCGACTCTTGAAAAGAACCAAAGGCAGTTTGCTTCCAGCCCAATTTGTATAACGATTCGTATTTCAGAAGTCGAGTAACTATTCCCAGCCTAAAGAGGGGACCATTTGGGGGCGAGAGGGGCAGGATCTGTTCTCGGTCATCCCAGAGTGCAGGAGACACAACCATGGGCTCAAGTGACAGGAAGCTAGATTTCAATTGAAGATCAGTGAAAACGTCCCAACTGTTGGAGCAGTACAGGAATGGAACCAATGACCTCGAGAGGTGGCGAGTGCTCAAAACGCTGGAGGCCTTCAAAAGAAACTTGGATAATCCCCTGGCAGATATCCTTTGACTTGTATTCCTGCCTTGAGCAGGGGGTTGGACTTGATGGCCTCACAGGCCCCTTCCAACTTCACGATTCTGTGATTCTAACCACCCATGATCTAGACATTAAAGGTGAAGATTGGAGCCCTTCAGTGTTGGGGAATTGGTAATTTGAATTCACCATTAAAGGACTTCAGCCTACCGACAAAGAGAGCTAGCCTTCTTTGACTTGTATTCCTGCCTTGAGCAGGGGGTTGGACTTGATGGCCTCACAGGCCCCTTCCAACTTCACGATTCTGTGATTCTAACCACCCATGATCTAGACATTAAAGGTGAAGATTGGAGCCCTTCAGTGTTGGGGAATTGGTAATTTGAATTCACCATTAAAGGACTTCAGCCTACCGACAGAGAGAGCTAGCATTTTAAGAGATGATAGAGAAGATGATGATGATGATGAAGAAGAAGATGATGATGATGAAGAAGAAGATGATGATGATGAAGAAGAAGATGATGATGATGATCATAATAATAATAATAGGCAGCCATCAATTTGATGTCAGGGTCATCTCTCTCCCCCCGTACAGCATGTCTCAGAAGTCACTGACCATTCCTTTCTCATGGGGGTACTCTGGGATTGTGGAGGCAGCCCAAGGCTACACAGGCTGGCTGGCACAGGAAGGGAATCAAACTCTGGACCATTGGGCTCCATCGCCAGGTCACCAGCTTAGAGAACTACCGAAATTCTCAGTCTCTGACCATTTGGTTTGTTTTGGAAGAAAACTCAAGCTCTCCCTGTTTCTTTGATGAAAAATTTAGGAATATTGTCAAATTCCTTGTTGTGAAGAGTCCCACGGAATTCTGATCCATTCCAACTTTCCAAAAGCGACACCAGAAACTGGCAGTGTCATTAAATGTAGTCAGCCTCTTAAGAGCCAGCTTGTATATTGAAGGAATGGATGTCACAAATATCTTTCTTTTTAGGATCCTCCCTCTTGGGCACTTGCTAGCCATGTTCTTGTTGTTTTCCTGCTTCTTCTGATGATATCCTTCAGGGAACCGCAGGATTGCACAATACATTTATTTATTCCCCAGTTTTGGCAGCTGATGCTCCACCATTTGGCGAGAGCCGCTGTTGCTTTGTATTCTTCAGGGTGTGAAGCAACTCTTCAGCAAGTGACCTACGGACTCCCAGACAGGAGCGCCATGTGTCCTTTTGAAATGGAGAACTGTCCTCTGTTTCAAGTCCGTCTTCCTTTAGAGGACTTTATAAGGTACGTCCAGCCCAATTTGAAGACAAGGGACCATGAGAGGGGAGATCTGGGTCTTTGATTTCATCCATCCACAAATGGAAAGCACCTGGGCAGTAGACACAGTGACTGGCATCCAGGTGAACTGCTGTCACAGACATAGCAAGAGCAAACTGACATCAGAGACATCAAGAGAATATTCACCAAATTCTTGTTCTCATTGACTTTGGTGGTCTCAAGAGGATAAGTCATGTCCATGAGGAATTTTAGAGCCCTCTGAGATTCCCCCAGCTCCATCTGATAGTGAGACAAAGAGGCTCCTTCAGTGTCTCAAAAGGAGCCCATGTCCTTAAATGGCCCCATTGACCAGGAACTCTGTTTATGATCCAGCAAACTGCCTCCCCAGTCTTCCCTCCACCTCTGTGTTTTGGGTAACGGCCAAGAAAGTGGTTGGCGGTCCTCATTCTGCATGGAGATACCACTTTCCACCGTGGCCGACAGAAGAGAACATATCGCCCAGAGTAGACTTCGGTCTAGATGGGCGGGGTATACATCTAATAAATAAATAAATCTGGATCCCTGAAATCAGAACACTAGGAACCCTTATGATCCATTTGCTGCAGTGGGAAACTAAAGTGAAACCATGTCTACCAGGCTTTGTGCTCTGGAGAGGACACTCCAGCTTTGCATGCAGCGTCGAAGTCCTCCATACAGAGCACGTTACCATAGTCTCTCGAGACCGAAGGGATGCCTATGAGGTCTGCTCAAAACATGAGGGCCTTCCTCAACACACCGTGCCAAAGTACACATGAAAAAGCAAACATATAGTACACAGAAGCAAGGGGAAAAAAAGTTTCACAGCCTGAGTGAGTTTGTAAAAATAATGTTGGAGGAAATTGAGCAACTCAGTCAAAACAAGACAAGATAATTCTTCACCTCTCTCTCAGTTGAGCAACAGTTTCTTTACCTCATCTTAAACTTTGGATGGCAGGTACATTTCCCGGGAATCTTCTACCGCAGGATTTACGCAGAAGGAGAACAAAAAGATAGCTATTTTGAGACAGGACGTCGTCTGACGTGTTCCTTAACCACCTCTCTATTGAATTCCAGCCAGCCCTTGTGGCTGATATACAAAGATGATGAATGTTGAAATCTAGAGACATCTTGAAGGTAATCGGTTTCCCATCCCTAACATACCCATATATTTCATTCCGTTCTGTACAGAAGACCTGTCGGGACTGCTAAAAACAGGAACTTGGGGAGGGGAGACTGGAAGCTAGAAACTGTGAGGGGTGTTTTGACCCTGAGCTTCTTCTCTGAACAAGGAACATGACACAGGCAGAATATCTTCCAAATGGACAATTCTAAGAGATCACCCACACAGTCTTGGATTTCCAGTCACCATTTATGGTATGGAAGCTGGACAGTTCAGGAAACTGACAGGAAAAAAAAAGAGAGCGAGATTTGTTTGAAATGTGGTGCTGCACGAGAGCTTTGCAAGTATCCTGAATGGCCAGAAAGATAAATAAGTGGGTCCTAGATGATATCAAGCCTAAAATATATCTGGAGGCAAACATGTTAAAGCAGAGGCCGTCCTACTTTGGGTATGTTCTGAGAAGGCAGGGTTTTCCAGAAAAAGTTCATAATGCTGGGAAAGGCGGAAGGTGGCAGGAAGGGAGGAAGACTAAATACCAGATGAACTGGCTCTCTAAAGAAAGCCACAGACTTGAGTCTGAAAGACACAAGGACTGTTGAGAAGGACTGTTGAGGACACAACATTTTTGAGATTCATGGGGTCACCATACGTTGGAGGTGACTTGACCGCACAAAACACCAACAAGATTCAATGGCATGTGTCTTGAATCAGAGAGATGAAATGAAAGCAATTTAAATTGGTGTGTGTGCACGAATGCACATGTGTGTGAGAGGAACATGTGGCTCTCCAGGTATCGTTTGAGGGTGCTATTGAACCTCTGCTGAACCAGGCTGAGGTTTGGAAGAGAAATATAGTCCCATATCATCTAGGAGGCTAGATTTTGCTCCCCCGTGGATGTCATGGCATCCCGTTTACTTTCACAAACCAGATGTTCTGAACCTAGAATAATAAAGCAGGTTCCCTTAGAAGGATGGCCCTCGACCCGAAGGCCTGAACACATTCTAGAGTTCAGTTCTGAGGATCACTTCTGGTTGACCATGCTATCTGGAGCTTTGAGGAGATGATAGTCAAGTTTTCTTGGTGACTACAAGTGGATGACCACTTCCTGGCAAAAACACAGCCCCCTCATAGGCAAGAAGAGCAACCGAAAGTCAAGAGATAAAACAGGAAGCAACTTACTGTCCGTTGAAGTGCTAAGATCACGATGGTTCCCAAGGCGACGAGGAGGCAGAGGGTCAGAGAAGCAACGATGAAACAAAGGTAGGTGTGGATCGGGGCATTGGACTGCCTGGGGACACTGCCTTTGGTCATATCTTTGGACTCCTCTTGAGGAGAAATCATTTGGATGAAAGAGCTCTTCTCTGGAGAACGACAGTTCATCCCTTTATAAAGTTCTCAAAGTTTTCCCCCATCGCTCCCTTTGATCGCTTTGGTCTTGCGCCTCGGCTCCCGAGGAAGCTCCCCCACTTCTAGGCTCATGCGTTTTGGAAAAAAAATGCTTCATCATTTCTCGTAGGAAGAAAAATAAGAAAAAAAAAATAAGGAGAGGAGATTAGGGGGCAGGAGGTGAGTCGACCAAAATCCCAAAGATGAGAAGGTGTTTCTATGCGCTTGAAGGAGGAGTCCCCGTTGGTCACGCCTGGTGCCGAGGAGCATTAGGTAACGCAAAAGCAGCTCCTGTTGCCCGTGCTCAGCAGTATTCTGCAAAATCACTATCAACACAGTGTAGACTGAATCACGCGTGGTTGGTGACTTCCTGTTTCGTACATTCTAAGCTTGTTTCACATAAAGGGCGAGCGAGCGAGCGGGCTGAGATGCTGCGACGTTGAAGGAGTTCCCCTTTTTCTCAGCTCTGAAGATCTGGATTCCCAGAGATTGCTGATTCACACTTATTTTTAGAAATGCACATAGCCGCTCTTTACAGTGTAGACTGAATCACGCGTGGTTGGTGACTTCCTGTTTCGTACATTCTAAGCTTGTTTCACATAAAGGGCGAGCGAGCGAGCGGGCTGAGATGCTGCGACGTTGAAGGAGTTCCCCTTTTTCTCAGCTCTGAAGATCTGGATTCCCAGAGATTGCTGATTCACACTTATTTTTAGAAATGCACATAGCCGCTCTTTCCTTAAATAAATAAATAAATAAATAAATAAATAAATAAACAGACAGACAGACAGACAGACAGAGACAGACAGATATATGATAGATAGATGGTAAATAAATAAATAGCTAGCTAGATGACAGACAGACAGACAGACAGACAGACAGACAGACAGACAGACAGACAGATAGGTAGATAG